ATTTATTAATTATAAATTTTTATTGAAATAGATTAATTATTATATTTATTAATCTATATATTATTTATTTTCTGTTAAATAAAATACTCAATTTATTATTATTATCTAAAAATTTAATTTAAAATACCTCATCAATTTATTAATTTATTTATTATTTAATAATATACTAGTTATAGAATATTTTTCCTACTTAATAAAATTAATAATATATTATATAAAGACTATATTATATATATATTTATAACTTTAATTCAACTATAAATTCTTTATAATATCAAATACTATTAGAAATATAATTCATAAGATTTATTATATTTCTATAATATATTTTTTTAAGTTTATTTTATAACTTAATATAATAATAAATTACAATAAAATTAATTAATTTCTTTAAACTTAAGATTTTATATATAATAAAAGTTTAAATTATTTATATTAAAATTCCAAGAATATATATAATATTTAGAATAGTTTTTAATATAATAAAAATTATTATTATTACTAAGTAAATTATTATTAAATAAAATATTAGTATTTATTACTTAATTTAAAATTTAGTATAATTTATTGTAATTAACTAGAATTATTTAGAAATCTTATTGAATAACTTAACTTTACTATATTTAATTAGTTTAATAATATTATATTTATAAGTAATATTGATATTTATAAAGAAAAACAAAAATATAAAAATATTAATAAATTAAAATATTTTTATAAGATTTAGTATATATTATAAACTCTTAAAACTACTTCTTATAAAATTTAAATATTGATTAATTAATATAATTATAAATAAAGAAAAATTATTAAATTTAAACTAGATTCTAGAAAGTAAAATAATATAGAAAATTAAAGAAAAATATAAATATATAATTAAAATAAAAAAATAAAACTAGTAAGTAATATTTAGAATATCTAATTAATAAATAAACTAATTAGAATATTAGAATACTAAATAATATAAAATATATTTAAATTGATAATACTAATATTATATTATTTCAAATAATAAACTTAACTAGTTCTAGTAAAAAATAATTTAAAATTAATATAATTAAAATAATATAATTCTCTAAATAATATAAAATAAGATATAGAAGTAGATATTACTAATTATAATATAAATATAATTAATTATTTTAATATGATTAGAATTTTCAAATAAATATATTGTAATAGTTATCTTAACTTATTAAACAGATTTAACTGATTATTAAATATTTAAATTTAATGATTAATCAAAGTATAGTTTAGATATATATAAATAATTCATAAATCTAATAAAAATTAAGATTTTAATTTAATATAAACTAATTAATATTTTAAAAAATAATAAATATAAAGCTTTTAGAATTTTTTAATTTTTCATAATAAATCAATATTAAGATATTTTTGAAAGAGATATTTTTAAAAGAACTAGAGATTAGATATATAATAATTAATAAATTAATAAATTAATTCTAGGATTATTTAAACAGTTAATTAAGAATATGAAGACTATATTAAGAACTAATAATATAAAATATAATTAATAAATAAATATAGTAAATTGTAGATTAATAGAACTAAGATATAATAAATATTTAATATAAGATAAAAAAATTTATAAAAAAAAGAAAATAATATAAATGATATCAGATTTTAAAGTAATATACTGATGTAAAATTCTTAATAATATAGTAAATCAAATAAATAAATTAGAATTAGAAATAAAGATAATAAATTAAGATTAAAAGATTAAATATTTTATAGATAATAAAAATATATATAATAAATAAAATTAGAAATAATATATTAATACATTAATATAAAAACTATATAATTAGTTAAGTAAAAGAAAAAAGAATTAATACAAAAAATCTAATAGATAATAAGAAAAGAAATAAATAAATATAAAAATCGAAATATATAAAATAATAAATTCAATTAATATAAACTTTATTATCATAATATATATATTATAACAGGTAGAATATGATATTATAAAATATAGTCATTAATAATAAAGTTAAGAAATAAATAAATAAGAACATTAATTTAGAAAGAAATCTTAAAAATAATTAAAATTTAAAGATTTAAGAAGTCTTTTATTAGAATAGTTAAAGTAGCTAATAGCTAGATTAAGTTAGATGATTCAAAACTTCTATACCTGACTATAAGTTAATAATTAGATATAAAAATATAACCCTATTTAAATTAATTAATAATTAATTAATAGGTTAAATTTCTTAGTAACTAAATTTATTTAAGAAAATAATATAAAATAATAAAATATTTTTATCTAATTTTTTATTTAATTCTATTTTATTTTTATTTAATTTAGTTTAATTTATACTTGATTCTTCTTAATCTTATCTAGTTTAAATATATTAATTAATTATAGTTAAATATTATATCAGCAGTTAATCTGATTCTTATATCTTGGCCTAACTACTAGGTTAAGGTTAGATTAAGGTTAAGATATAATAATCAGGTTAAGCCACTCTAAGAATAGTATAGAAAATAGTAGAAAGACAGAATAGAAGACAGAATTAGATATGGCAGAACTAGTTCAATCACTCAAGATTCATCTAGCTCAGCTTACTTATTAAGTAAGTCAAGTCCTGCTTAACTACTTAATAAATAGGTTTTTATTAACTCTTAGTTTACTCAGCTAGGTATTCTTAATTTGATAAATTAATTATATTTATATTTTATTATAGTATTATATAACTATTATATATGATATTTAATCTATTTATTAAATTAAATCTATATTATATATTAAATTAAAATAAATACTTTTCTTTTTATAACTCTATTAATTATTAATATCACTAAAAAGCATAATTAAAAATTATATTTAATATATAAAAATATATTTATTAATAATTCTTTAAGTATTTATCTTCCTAGTTAGGCTAGTTATTAACTTACATTAAATTAGAATTAAATATATATATTTAATTAAGAAAAGATTTATCAATACTAAGTTAAGTATTAGAGAAAATAAAAAAATATTAAATTAACTATTTTTAATTAAGATTAAGTCTAATTAAGGTAGTTTATTTATTTTAAAAATTTAGTAAAACTTATTAAGTAAACTAGATTATTTAACCTTGAGTTTTAAACTAAGTTAAACTCTGGTTAGCTGAAACTCAGAGTTTGAATAAGTTATTATATGATTACCTGAAACTCACCCAACCTGCTTGATTGCTACAGCTAGACAGATTAGTAACATCCTTAGTTAAGCTAAGATTTGTTATATATTATCTTTGAAAAAATTAGGTTTTGTAGTATGGATTTATTTTATATATAATAACAAAGTTTAATTTATATTCAGAAACTAGAAATAACTAATGATAAAAGATTTTTAAATAAAATATTAAAACTTTAATTTTAATAATTAAGTCTCTTAAAAAAATTAAACAGAACTTGAATATTTTACTTATTTAAATAAAGTTTTATATAAGTAAAATATCTAGAGAAATATTATTTTAAACTTAAATAAGAAAAATAGTAAACTAGAGAAATCTTCTAAAAATAAAATTAATTAATATTAACATTATAAAATATATCTAATTTCTTATATCAAAGTTACTATTAATTTTAAATATTATAAAATCCTTAAATTTAAATTTATTTTCCTTACTAAAAACTATATAATTTAATATTTAAAAATAATTATTTCTATGAATAGAGTGCTGGTTTATTATTATTATTTTTAGAAAATTATATTCAACTAATATAATATTAAATAGTTTTTAAAATTAGTCTAGAAGCTTTTTAAATCTTAATATAATCAAAATTATTTAATAATATTTTAAATAGTATATAATTTTAAGAAATATTATATATAATAAGAAAACTATAAAATAAATCTAGATTATAATCTAGAATAAAATACTTTAGAAAAATACTTAATACTAGATTAGATAATTTATTTAGTATATTTATAAGGTTATATGTTTAGAAGATAAAAATAAGTATAAGAAAAACTAAACTAATATTAATTTTTATAAGTATATAAAGCTTAAAGACTACTTTCTAAAATATATAAATTAAAAGAACATACTTTTTTAATTTGATTATATAATAACTTTATAGTAGTAAAAATAATTATAATTATTTCTAGTACTTTACTTAATTAAATTAAGTTATTAATTAGTTTATTAGCTAAGTTACTGGATAAGATATTAGCTAATCTTATAAATACTAATTTTTTTATTACTACTATATACTTTTCTAGTAAATATATATATAAAGTAATATTAGAAGAAGATAGATATATTATAGTTTTGAATAGTAAAGATATAGTTAAGTAGATCTATACCTCTGAAGATTAAAGAATCCCACCTCTGTACTACCTACTTTATAAGGTTAACCTATTTTTCCTTTATTTACATTAGGCTTTTGGGGTTAACTTTATATTAGAGTTGTTTTAATAGGGTAGTTATATTAGGCAATACTTTTTTATTAGGGGTTTTAAGGGTTTAAAGAGCAGATATACTAAAAATATACTAAGTATATACTGTAGCAGTTCTGGTGTCTCTGAGGATTCTGCCTCCTGTCTTCAGACCCCCCTGCAGACCGCCTTCAACCTAGAAGAATTACTTGGTTATTTCAAAGAACTTTCCTTTCTTAATCATCTTGTCTTAGTTGAGTATATAGGTGACATCAATATTTCAGAACCATATATAATATACTATATACAATATTTACTAGTAAAGATTTCAAAATGTTCTTGGCAAAAAAGAGGTTAATATAGGCTGAAATAGTAGTTACCTCACCGCCTTCGGGGCAGAATCTGGGCCTACGCCGAGTTATTTTCGTACCACGCCGAGCTACACAGCATTACCGCAAACCGCTACTACTGGCCATCAGCGGTATACCTATAACGATTCTCCGAATGATAATCCTTATCACGTGGAAAGATAGGCTACAACGTCATCTCGCAGTCTGGTTAAGAGTGACTAGCCAATAGTCTTTTGAGTGATTGATTTGCCAACTAACTTATCATCGCAAGAAAGCTTTGTCATCAGCAATCTCCAAAGTTCGACTACAATACAGATATACACGACGCTTAGTTCATTGCAGAGCCTTTACTTCAGTCTAGTCTTTCAGCAACTATAGGCTCCATTAATCAAGTCACTAGATTCTTACTCCATGGAACATTCCTTGGAACCCTTTAGCGCTCAAACACATCTCCACGACCAGAAAACACACATAATTCTCGCGGCCAGCGGCTCAGTCGCTACCATTAAATTGCCCAACATCGCCAGGGCACTTGGCGGCCATAGCAATGTGTCTATTCGCATAGTCATTACCAAATCGGCGGAGCGGTTTCTCGAGGGACAAAGTCCCGAACAACCTTCACTAGAAGCTTTGCGAGCGACCCCTGGCGTTGATGGTATATACAGAGATGAAGATGAGTGGGGATCTCCCTGGGTGCGTGGCGAGCCAATACTGCACATAGAACTCAGAAAGTGGGCGCATTTATTAATCGTTGCTCCCCTATCGGCCAACACGATGGCCAAGATGACTATGGGGATGGCCGACAATCTTCTTCTTTCAGTGATCAGAGCCTGGGATACGACGGGGACCGTGGACGCCAAAATCAAGAATAAGAGGCCGCTTATTTTTGTTGCCCCCGCAATGAACACTGCGATGTGGAACCACCCGATCACTGCTAAACAAATCGAGGTCCTAGAAGAGGAATGGGGTGTGAATAATTCGAGTAAGGATGGCTGGATTTCTGTTCTCCGTCCAATGGAGAAGTCACTTGCCTGCGGCGACACTGGCAACGGTGCCATGCTGGATTGGGAGGCCATAGTCCGTATCGTGGAGCAGTATATCGGTGTCTTAACATAAAGGTTCTAGCGTTACAGTGTGAGTTGGTCAATGAAGCCTTGAAAGTACGGCGATGGCTAATTCTTTTATAGATTCACTTAACAACGCGACTCTGCGGCTTCTTCATAGAAGCCAGTAATACGCGCGACATAATCCAGGAGCAATCCCACAGTGATACCTCCCCCAGTAAAAAGACAGCCATTTTTGAACCACCACCAACAGTTCTGTACATTTTTCAACTGAACTTTCCAGATCATTGCGCCAAGGGAAAGAGCCGCGCTGCCGCAGCTGCCAATAAAGAAAACAGGCCCGCTACCAGCTGCAATACCAGCAGCAGCAAGCAGTGATATTTGAACCCCTGCTAGTGCTGTGAGGACAGCTTTTGTATTATTTTCGTGACGAAGGGCAATTGACTTTATGCCGGCCGCTACATCATCTTTTATGTCCATGTGCGCATATATCATATCGTATAGAACTGTCCAGGCAACACAGCTGAAATAAAGCGCAGCAGCTGCTTCCAAGGCGAGAGTATTATGAAGGAGGTCGACACCCAATGCTGGAAACCCCATGATCGCCCCCCACGAGAATGTGAGACCTAGTACAGCTTGCGGATAGTATGTCACACGCTTGGCGAGGGGATAAGTGGTCACCAAAAGCAAGCTAGGTATACCATACCAGAGGCATTGGGCTGGAAACTGCAACAGGACACCTAGCCCTGCGAGTAACTGAGCGCCGGTAAAGGCGATTGCTTTGCAAGGAGAAATTGCCCCTCTCGCAATTGGTCGGAACTTGGTCCTTGCAACATGCGGATCCAAATTCCTGTCCCATAGATCATTGATCGCACACCCAGCACCTCGCATTATCAAAGCTCCGGTGAGAAAAAGACCAGCAGTTCCAACAACTTGGATTGGACCAGCAGAAGTCATGGATGCGGCAAAAAGGGTGGAATATAGACAAGGGAAGAAAAGGTAGTATGTGCCTGTCGGCTTATCAAGGCGCAGCAACTCGGCGTATGGAATCCATGATCGTGGCAGAGAAGCTATCAAGCCCTTCTCTGGTGGTTTGTAACAGTCGACCAAGCTCGATCTTGCGCGACCTTGCGAAGCGGAAGCGGCCGAAATCCTGAGCCCGCGATGATTATATTCTGATTTTCGGTGGGTTGCCAAAGAGGCACGGGAGGAAACCAACGAGGTTGGCTGGTAAAGAGAGCCGGCTCGTCCATTAAAGCATCGGAGCATTTGAGCCTGAAACCGTAAGGGTAAAGAAGACGATGGCATATTTGCGAATTTCGGGGCACGATAGTACTAAAGATGGCTCTTGTCAGTTGCTTAAGGAATATTTGAGACTAGCAACGATCCATCCCATTCAAGAACGAATGAAGAGATCAAAGAGAAAGCAGAATGGAGGAAAAGCTAGAGCAAGAATGGCTGGTTGCGTCTTCGTCCCTATTGAGTCTATCCCCTGGTCGTGCGGTGATAATCTTGGCGATGATTTCTATCAATCCCAGAAAAAGTCCACTCCGCTCGGTCCGCTCCGTACATCGATCATCCTTCTGGCGCGTGCGATGTAAAGTACAATGTGTTCGTTACCTTCCATACCTTTCAACTTCACCTAACATATTCCCATGCCCAATTTCTCACAAGTAGAAAAACGGGTCCACTCTCACAGTCGAATCCAGATACAAATCAAAACAGAAGATTGACCGCACCGTGCTCTGTTCACATGTGCTGAGGGTCTTCATTTGACTAATTCCTTGCTCGTAACACTGGCACCCCTCATCTTTGCTTTCAAGCATGCGCTAGAAACTTGGGAGAGTATGCAACTTACCTCCTTACACCAACAACACTCTATGTTCAGTCTTCCCCCTTTCCCAGGTACCTGAAAACACGATCTACATATCTATACATCCCAACATTTTCTTAAAATGCCCGCGCAGCGTCCCCGCGCAGCTTTTGAGCCGCTTTCCCCGAACCTAGATCTGGAGGCTTTAGTGGAATCAACACCAAATTTCGAGTACGCTACTAGAATTCACTGCGATGCTATTGATAAAAATGGCTTGGACGATTTCGACAAACTTGTCGCGCTTCAGGTTGTCCGACTAGGAAAACCTCTGGTTATTGAAGGATTCGATAGAAGGCTAGATCATACCCTTTTCTCCGAGAAGTGGCTCAGGGGTCATTATTCCGCGAAAAGTGAGCAAGTATCTTGGTCCAGGAAAGCCTTGCTACTGCTGACAGTTCATTGTCTCATCAAGCTGAATATGCGCGCAATCTGAGTACAAAGACGGACCTACCTCTTACAATCGGACATTATCTTAGAAATATGCCCCTGCTGACCGACCAATGGACTTCGTACAACTACAAAGACCCTGACCGACAGCGCATCTATCTGAAAGATATTGATTGCCCCCCTGAGTGGCATGATGAGTTAAAAAAGGTTATACCGTCGCCGGTATTTTATCTTAACAATGCCCATTCGAATGCCCCGATTGCCAGGGCCGGTGATTTGATGAGCTGCCTTCCTCCAAGTGCGCGTGCAGAGAATTTGATGTGCTACATCGGTCACGAAGGCACCTATACACCTGCCCATCAAGAAATGTGCGGCAGCCTTGGCCAGAACATAATGGTTGAAGCATCGGATGGCTCAACTGAAAACGGCAAGGATACCAAGCCTGGATCTTCCATTTGGTTCATGACTGAAAGCAAGGACCGTCGTGCTGTTTCCGATTACTGGATGTCCACCTTGGGTCATGACATTGACATCGAAGACCATTTTGCACAGATAAACGCCTGGAAAGCGGCACCATTCAAAACGTACGTCGTCGAGCAAAAAGCAGGGGATTTTATTCTCATACCACCTCTAGCAGCACATCAAGTCTGGAATCGTGGAACGAGAACCATGAAAGTTGCTTGGAATCGGACGACCGTGGAATCCCTAGACAAGGCCTTACATGAAGCTCTTCCTCATGCAAGAATGGTTTGCAGAGATGAGCAATATAAGAACAAGTCCATAGTGTTCTTCTCACTAGAATATTATTCAAATGTTCTAAGAAAGGCCCAGAAGCCCGATATCAGCCGCCCAGCTTTCAAGAAGCTGATCAGGGATTTTGAGCAGCTGTTCGGCCTGTACAATGAGGTACTTCTTTCTGAATGCTTTGGAAACAATTCACCCGAACAAGATATTGAGTTCATCCCTTATGATAGCAATATCACATGCTCATACTGCCGTGGGAACATTTTCAACAGGTTTCTCACTTGTCCCAACTGCGTCGCCCCCTCAATTTCAGACGAGGATGATGCGTATGATATTTGCATGGAATGTTACGTGATGGGACGAAGCTGTATCTGTATTTCTGCTCTCAAGTGGGTAGAACAATTCGACTGGAATGAACTTCAAGAGAAGCATGAAGCTTGGAGGCAGCAGCTACTGAAGGTCAAGTCAGATCTCGGGCAGAAATACTTGCCTTTGAATACACAAAGAGAGCGGTTGAACAAGAGGACGCTGGCTGAAATTTGTCAATCAGAGCTAAGTAGACGGCCCTGGGTTGATGTTAGCAAACCAATCGTCCAGTCCGAACCTATGGAAGAGAAGGACAGTGACACGGAGGAGACAACTTCTGCGCGCAAGAAACGAAAAATGTCTCGTGGAGAACCAACAGAGAAAGGTGGTCGCTGCCACATCTGCAAGTATGTTGAGCCATTGTGGAAGCTTGCGTCGTGCGCCCATTGCTCCAAGCATTATTGTTACGGAAGTCTTTATAGGGCTTTCAACGTGCTGCCTCAACAGACGATGGAGGTCCTGGATTGGAAATGCCCAAAATGCAACAAGATCTGCAGTTGTGCTGCTTGTCGCCGAGACCCGACGATGTGTCCTTTCGAGCCCACATGCATGTTACTCGGACATGACACACGAAAAATAGCTGACCCGCGTAGTGTGGAAAGTCTTGTGGACTTTCGGCATTCTAACTTACGTTGGTTGAAGAAGGCTGCGGATGACGAGACCAATCGGATAAAGACGCATCAGTATCCGAATCCTCTCCAGAATCCGGGTCAGCAGAACGACGCAGACGAAGAGAACGGCCACCTGGCACCCGCGCCAAATGTCCAGCTAGAGGAGTCGTCTGCAGTCTCAGCACTTCCGACCAATTATGAAGACATTCCAGTAGATCCTGCATTGGAGAGCTTATTATTATCTGGCGGCGCAACGTCTACTCCCCCCGACATTTGAACGGCCAAGGGCTTATCGGCAGACATGAAGGCTTCCGCGTCTGGGTCTTTCAGACATCCTGGATGCATGTTTCGCTCTAATGTTGGTTATTTCAAGGGGGCGGTCTCCAATCATCTCAAGCTATTTTGTTAATAGAGAAATAGACGAATTTCACGCTCGTGATGCAACAACATGAGGACATCTTCATAGTTTTCCACGGAAATGTGTGCTCTTGGGCTTTTCCTCTCCCCCTTTCGGTCAGAGGCACCCCCCCCAAAAACAACCTCCCGAGAAGTATTGTGGTGTCGGACGGAGATAGGTTTGCGAGTTAAGCTCCTTTGTAACCATATCGAAGGTTCTCAAGGTCCTTAATATCAACAGACAGCATGAACCTGCGCGCAATTGAGACAGTCGCCAACATTGCTATTAGAATAAGTGTCTACCTCCTTTGACTGAATAAGGGAGGGAACTAAAGAGAAGACTAACCTCCAGGGACCAAGGATGTGATCGGCTCCGTTTTGAACCACGATTTCGTCGATGCGGATATAAGGTATAATAGCGCTAGTAGTACGCAGCATGCTGCATTGATGATTAGAAGTAGTTGTTGAGCTTGGAAGAGGCCATTGGAGTTTGTTACGAGTCTCTTGCCCTTGACAACGAGACTCTGATGCGGTAAAGACCTCATGGTGTGGGCTGTTGTCAACAAGGACAGTACACAGGTGAGGGCTAGGCATCGCTCGAAATTGGTGAATGAACTGGAGAGCATTGTGGGTATATAGATGGTAGCCGTCAAGACCGGGATGGCCGTAAAGATGATCTATACCGTTTGACGCCCTGATTTTTAGCAGTGTCCGCCGTCATTCAAGTTGGCATGATTAAGAAGGAGACGCCATTACAATATATTCAGAGTTTCGCCTGTCGTGAAGTGTTTTCAGACCATTGATTACGCGCTCTTGCTCTGCGAATATGTCAGTCGAAGAGACACCGCCAGCAAAAAGCTATTCTTGCCGTCGCCTGGCAGATCGACTCGATTCATACAGACCTTCTTCATCCAGCTCCTCACGAGCATTCTCGTCATTTTCCGAATCATCCGGATAGCGAAATGCGCGCCGAAGCCTCGAAGATGCCATCTTCTGTGAGCTCCAGGAAGATTTGGTCTTAAAAGTATATCTCGACGGGCTGCTTTTCGTGGACTATAGCATAGCGCAAAAAGTGATGGCTCTAGGCTAGGCTCGGGTTCTTATTTATTAAGCAAAATATGTCAACAGCCGGGTGGTGTTCTAATAGAGTAATTGTTGGATCTGGTTTGACTCGTTTGCTACGGGCCGCCGTCTGCACTTTCAAAACTCCGAGGTCGAACGTAACGTCTTTGCTCAGCTGTCTTTCAATCCTCCACGTCTCACTACTATTGCGCCTTTCTGTCAAGAAAATTGAATCGAAGGTACCTATTGCGCCTCGAGAATGTTGTTTTTCGCTGCAAGACGGCGCATTGGCGTCGTACAACTACCTGGTGCTCGTCGCCGAGCTCTCCCTCTTCGTCGCAGCTTAATCCCCGCTCCGCGCTCCAATTCAGGCCCTCTTATGGAGCGTCGAGCAGATCGAGAATTGCCGTCCGTTAACAGCGAGCGCCGCTGGCTGCGTACACTACCGCTCTTCGCGGTCGTCGTGGGCGCGGCCATGCTAGGCATATTCAATTATCAAAAGTCTTCCTCAAGCGTGGTCAGCAGCACATTGTATGCTCTACGGACTTCGCCACGTGCCCGTGAGATTCTGGGGGATGAAATATACTTTGCTCAGAAAATTCCCTGGATTAGTGGTGAAATGAATCAGCTACATGGTCGCATCGACATTTCTTTTTGGGTCAAGGGGACAAAAGGCCAAGGCAAGATGAGGTTTCGGAGTATCAGGCCCAACCGCATGAGTTATGTACGTTGCAAACACCTTCTTCTTGTATCGCAAAGGTCGATTGTGCTAACAAGCAATTGTATCAGTTCCGCACGGAGGAATGGAGCTTGGAAACAAAAGACGGGACGGTGGTTCAACTCCTCGACAGTGATAGCGACCCGTTCCGACAAAACAATTAGAGAATAATGGCAATATCGTGGTGGAGTACATAAATATGTGTATTCCATATCGTGTACGGTGTCTGGGAATCTGTCCTTGTAGATATTGTGAGATCCATGTGCATTGTGCTAGGGCGTTCGGTCATTGGAAGGCATCTGTGCTGTTTTCCTCACCACTCTTTCACCATTTGACATGCAGGTTCATGACGTGACAGGAATGTCATGAATTGCAAGTTCGGACAGGAGCTGAGACGATCTGATCTGACTTAAGGATTTCATTTACACATCAAATACAAACGTCGCTCTATGGAGGAAAAAAGTATGAAGTTATAGCACATTTCATGGGAAAAGAAGAGGGTGAGGGGAAATTGAAGATCGAGTGAAAGGCATGAAGCAGAGGCATTCGAATCGACCACTAGGTCGATTTAGAAGTGGCCGCGACTTCGGGCCACGGCTTCTTGAGAGCATCCTGTATCCTTACGACACAGCCTTTGGGACCACTGATTGAACCTAGAGTGCAAATATACACGTTAATCAGCGTTTGAGCTCCGCAAGAATCCAGTCGACTTCATGTTCGAATGCCAAGGGAAAAGGCTGGTGTGTCACCTACCGTTAACCACGATGATCCCATTCTCCTGGTCCACCTGAAGAATCTTGAGGTTTTGTACCGTATTCTGCTCATTTCCCATATTTCCCGCCATCTTCTTGCCCGGGTAGACACGAGAACCACCGCCCTGACTGGGGCCTGCAGAACCAAGCGAACGGTGCGTCAAACTGACACCGTGACTGCGATCTTGACCCCCAAAACCATGTCTCTTCATCACACCGGCAAAGCCTTTACCCTTTGAATTCGATCGCGCATCAACATACTGGCCCACTTCAAACCAATTGGCATTGACTGCTTGTCCGACAGGCAAAAGACCGGTCTCATCCTTCACCCGAAACTCACAGACATGGCGCTTTGGCGAAACACCATTGGCCGAAAAGTGTCCCAATAGTGACTTTGTCAGGTTAGCAGGCCGCCTCCAGCCAGCACCCATCTGAACGGCGAAGTAACCATGCTTTTGCACTGTCTTGTGCGATATAACCTCGAGTCGATCCAGTTGTAGGACAGTGCAAGCGATACGTTTCCCGGACTCCGCGTCATACAAGCCGGTCATTCCTTTCTTAGTTGCAATTGCGCCAGTGCGTAGCGGAAGGGTATTAGCCTTGCGCTCCAAAGCCGCAGTAGGCGACGATTTCAGGATAGGTAGTCCCGGACCGACATCGAAGCGGGAGGTTTTCGGGGGGTTCAGCGAGCGGATACCGAATGTGCGGATGGGGACCTGACCGTGAACGGTGGGACAGGAGCCCCAAATGGATAGCAAGGGCAGTTGGGCCAGTTGCCCAGAGAGGCGAGGCGACATGATGAAGCTCAACCAGGCAACGTAGCGAGCGGAAGAAGGACGTGTGAGGGTATCGCCAGGCGATGATACTTAGGAGGCTGTGGGTCTTTTTTGCTGCCGAGATTTCTGGAGAGCTTGCGGCGACAACTTTGAAGGCGGTGTGTAGAATTGAGGCCTGAAAAGCCAGGCAAACATGCTGCAGCCTTAGGTACACAGTTGCATTACCTACGGAGTACTCCATACCGTCCGCAAGATCCAATTGACTCCCGGCCTAGCATCGGAGGCCGGATGCACCGGCACGCCGACAGCCGGGATGGGATGCTCGTAGTAAAGAATAAATATTAGTTAAGGTTTCTTATTACCTGCGGCCGAGACGTCATCTATCAGCAACCTTCACCTCGGTGTTTCCAGAGACCTGGCCTGCTGCGTGTACAATCACATCAACCAAAAATGCAGCCCCCTCGGTCTTTCCTGTCAAGTTTGCTCTTCCAGGTTCCCAGCATAGCGAGAGGGACCCTGGCCGCGCCCAAGCCCTTGACCACTCGGACTTCTATTTCCCTCAATCGCGCCTTTGGATCCTCGGCGCCGCGCATGCCCTATCTGCAGCGCCGGTTGATATTCCCTCGATGGAAGAAATTCCAGTGTGGGCGCACCACCATCTCCATCATCCCCCACCCTCAACAACCGGCTACGTTCCGACGGCTCTTCCAGTCGTCCCGCGCAAGACACGCGTCACAGGCTCAACGGCCTGGGACTTCGCTGTCGCAACGGTTGCGCAACCTCTCGAAGGAGTATGGCTGGTCCGCCTTGTGGGTGTATTTGCTCTTGTCGGCCATGGATTTCCCTATCTGTTTCGCTGCTGTTCGCCTTCTGGGTGTAGAGCGAATTGGCCACTATGAGCACGTTATTGTCGAGTATGTCAAGGAAGCAGTAGATGCTGTTTGGCCACGCAAGCAGGGTGCCAATGCAGATTCGGAGCTGAATAAGAGCGTAACCACCCAGAAGGAAACCGAGGAACCTGCGGCAGAGGCACAAGGCAGTGGCGAAAACGCCAGTAAGGATCTCACATCAGTCTCTTCATCTGTCTGTAACTAATTGCCATATCTCTTCTTCTCAGGTCTATGGACCCAACTTGCACTTGCCTACGCGATTCACAAAAGTCTCATCTTCATTCGGGTTCCCTTGACAGCAGCAATCACCCCTAAAGTCGTCAAGGCTTTGCGACAGTGGGGTTATGATATTGTGAAAGGCAGGCCCAAAGGTATGTAAGACTTCGGGACTCCTTGTGCATGTCAGTCGGGCCGGCAAATACTCGAGACCACATCGTTTTTGTTTGCTGCATAGCGTTCGGTCATGCTAGATTTATATGATAGATAACTGTATACTATCTGGTATATCTAATCACCTGGGGCAGTGTATCGCCTACTCAACAGATTGAGCTATTAGACTCCACAGCTGAAACTGATCGCCTACAAAGATTGAACCATAGATGCGTTTGGCAAGCCACTATACGAACTAAGTACAATACATGCAAATCACGACAAATGATACATGATAAGGGCGATGAAGTGTACATGATCATAAGAGGTCTTGTCTGGCAAGAGGTATAGAAAGCAAAGGGCCTCAAATCGAAGATGGCAAGGAGTCAACATTTGTACGATGACACATCAGCTTCGCCCCAGCAAAATCCCATCCTGAAATGTGATAGGCGGGCCCGATGCCAGGTCGCATGGGGCAAGTGGCGAAGAAAGTCGAAGGGTCGAAAATCGGATCACATATCAATCGTATCATTGAATCTTAGAATGCCGTTGGCTTTCATAATACCGTTGACGCCATCTGGCATGCGATATGCCCAATCAACTACCCCCACAGGATCGGTAGCCTGTAAGACGTCCATTCTGTTGGACTGATACGCATCGTCCGAGGTATCTGCCACCAGCACGAGGCCAAGCTCTTTTATTGTCTCTACAAGAGCGGGCACAACGTTCTAAAAGCAGTGAGCTTTAGTTCCAGCGTAAAAGAGACCACTCCAAATTAAGTGATATGACGGCATTGAACAAGGCGAATACATACCAAGAGACTAGAGCGACAGATCAATCCCATGAAGTTGTTGCTCTGCGCTATTCGGGCGGAATCCTTAATGGACATAGACGCTCTTCCGCTGCTATTCACATCCGGAAGTGATCTCATATCACGGGCTAAATCCCGAATCTGGCCAAGGTCGTTGCAGAGCAAGACAGGATCTTGAAATGCGTGTCTAGTTAGTACAATCCTAAAGAGAACTTGACATGTAATATAAGGATCGAGCTTACAATTGGGTTGCTTCCAATTCAGGGCAATGCAGATATTAGGGTTGTAAGAGGTGAAGACCACAGACCGCATGGTATCAGGATTCTGGTCGCGCGCGATTCGAGCATGGTCAAAGACTTCGGTAAGAATAGCATCCGCAAAGGTGTTGACATCCGGCAAGGATGTCATATGAGATGCATGCTCCTCTACCAGTGATGGGCATAGCACGGACAGGTTAACGCTAACACTGAGTGGTAGATGATGAAGAGCATCTCGCAAAGACAGATATGAGGAGGCTAGCTGACGATGGGCTTGTGTCAAATCATTCACAGCAGAATTCCGTAAGAACTGTAGCATTTCCGCATGTTCCGCGCCACGTTCGGCACCCATTGCTCGAAACTGCATGTAGGTAAGGTGACAAATGGGTATCTCAATGCCATGATACTCGATCGCGAATTGAGGGTAAAGGACAGGAATCCGGTCTCTGGTCAACTGCACAAAAAGCTGAACGTGATCTCCTGACAAGCTAGAGCCTGTGACGAGTCCATTATGTTCATGATCCACGGCACTGGTCGCCTTCCAATATGTAGCGAAGTGGGTGATTTCCAGCGGATCGCCGTGGTATGGTTTGATCACTTGGTAGTTAAACCGCAGTTGACCGATGGATCGTAGCCTCGGATCAAATAGTGGCAGCGAGCACGTGCCAGTGCTGGAACTTTCGGCTTTGAAAATAGCGGGAAGAGCTACCGTCTTCGCGATAACCTTAGACCCGAAAGTGGGGAAGATTTCGAAATCGACGGCGAATGTGTCAAGGTTATCAACATGGAACGATATTATCCTCGAGTCTTCCTGTATAGGAAGCATTATGGTACGTGGAATCAAGTCGGAGAGTTTAGAGGAAATGGTCAGGCGTGCAGCAGCATGTCGACCTGCTTGGTCGAACAGGATCGATCCAGTACTCCCTGGATCAAACAGAATTTGGACAAAGACCTTCTTATCCAAGAAGTTGTGGCCATATCGTCTCAGGGGTATAATCGGTGGCGGTAGGGACAGATCAGGAATGCCATCGGCCGTATCCATGTTGTCCACATCTGTGGAGTCATTGACGGCAGAAGCATAATCACAGCCCGGATCCTGCAACTTTAAGCCATTCAAGAATCCGAGCGGCTTTTGCGGGGCCTGTGAAGCTATGCTATGGGACCAGAGCAGAAGCATACATTCCAAATGGCCTTCCCACGCCGCATAGTACATTGCCGCAAGTCCTTTCTCATCCACGGCACCGGCATCAACGCCCAATTCCAGAAGAGTACGTAGGCACCCCACGCAGCCTTCGCTCGCTGCATGGAAGAGAGGCGTCCATTGGTACAGCTTATCTCGTTGGTCCATGTCGGCTCCGTGTTGTTTGAGGAGAAGGAGCAGCTGCGGCGACTGTGAAGCTCGCGCCACCATGTGTTGAGGGTAGAGACCCTCGGCGTCTGGAAGCAGCCTCGCATCCCGTTCTAATAGCATTTGGACTATCGAGATTGATCCGTATTGACAGGCCAGGTTCAGTGGAATATGATCCGATTCAGACGTTGGGTCGATACGGGCGTTGTTGCAAAGAAGCTGTTCTGCGCACGCCAACTGACCTTTAACAATACTGTGAATCAAGGGTGTAAAGTTATCGTGGTCCATCACATCGATCGTATGAGGACCGGCCTTGAGCAGTTCCCGCACCATCTCTACCCTACCATGCATGCAGGCGTAGTGCAGAGGCATTCTGCCGTAAACATCACACCTGGAGATGTCGACTCCTGCGGCTAGGCCGGCCTTGAACACAAATACCCGACCGGAAATGGCTGCTTCATGTAGACAGTTGCGCTCATTGATGTCATCTTCAGCGTTTATGTCAACAAGACCGCTTTCCAGGAGCACTGCGAGCACGTCGTCAGTGAATTCGTTGATAGCGGCGAGAAATGTGCGAGTTGCACGGATTGGAGCATCAGGGGATGATCGCAACTTTGCTGTCCATTCGCGCAATGTCTGGAGATTTCCCGAGGTGGCAGATTGCAGGATTTGCAGATCGAGATCCTCTTCATCCGGCCCGAACGTTTGCGAAACCGCATTCCTGTCCACCGGACGGATTGTATCAAAATGAATATTTTCGCCTTCTGCCCATGCTTCTAACTCCAGCCGTGCTGTTGTTGCTCGATCCGACAGGTCACGCAAAACCTCCCGATTGAAGCATGGCTGTACTTCGACAGCACGGTGAAGATATAGTTCTTTCATGCGAGACTATAAACAGTACACGGTAAGCAAAGCACGATCGTACAAGGCAGATTGCAGGACAGTGTTCTCATAAACAAGAATATGGTATATCAGACCTTAGAAGTTTTATCCCACTATAACCATGCTGTTAGCCACGTCCAGCGCAGACGTATGGGACTCTTAGTTGTGGACAAACCTTCTTCAGAATCTTCGACATTGCCGTCTCGTTGATCTCAACGAATTGCTTTCCAAAAATGACGATACGTCAGATTACATCGTTGTGCTGTCGCAATCCCAGTCCAAAGCTTACTTGTAATTTGTTCAGATCACCATCAAATTGCTGGAAGCCCTCGAACAGCGAAACATAATTTGCGGGTGCTTTGGGATTGGTCACTGCCCGCGACTGAATGACCCTCTTCTTATCGACTAGGGTCTTCAGCCGAAGTGAGAACTATGTCTTTCCATCAGTCTTGCCGTGATTGTTAAACGGAGCTATTGCATAGCACCAACATACCTCAGCTTCTTTCTGCAAATAGAAGGCATTGACCTTTTCAATCTCTCGTTCCTGCAGTGCACAATCAATGAGAATGTCCGCGCAACCAAATCTAGTTCATATCCTTACCAGTCGAAAGAAGAACACCTCTTTGTTCGCCCGAAGGGCAGCTTGCGCCTCAGGAACATCTTGCACTGCACCTGTTATACTCTGGGCTGGAATTGTGGGCGTTGCACTTAGTTGTTTGATGAGCTAACGGAGTTAAATCAGTCAAGAGACTCTCCGGGGCAACAGGTAGAGGAGGGATCGATTATGAGAAGCAAGTGAGGAAGCTCTACTCACTTTCTTTAATGCTTTGTAATTTACGAAGCTTGCAGCATATTCAGGAAGATCGAGTTGTCTGCGCTGGATTTGTTTGCCGAACTTCCTATTTCTCAAATCATCAGCCGTGAGGCGGGGAAAGATGTAGGGAGAAGGAAAGAGGAATATTAGAATTGTAGATGCATACTTACATTTTGAGTGATGCTGCGCAAAGCGCAGAAGGAGCTCAAATCCGCCCGTGACGCACTTCAGTGCCCAATAATGCTAAGTTGAGCGACACGACACAGGCAATATCTGCAAGTTGAGAGATGAGTAAAGCAGAAGGCAAGCACAAAAATGTGAGGTCGCGCCAAGTCCGAATGGCAGCGGCCGATAGTGGCGAGACCAGGGTATCCTCTACCTGAAGCTGGTAACGCGATCGATTGGGGGTGAAAGATGGAAAAGGAGGATAGAGGAAGGCGCGCGGAGGGGGGAGGGGGGTGCTTAAAAGCAGCAAATGGATAATGACGAGAAGCCGAGGAGAGAGGCAATCTCGAAGGCACTTGGTACAAGCGGACGATCGTCTAGTCCCAGTGGATAACAGCTTGCCGGATGACCCTCGCAAAAGCAGCAGCACCAGCAGTACTCCGTGCTAATGTCGTTGCGTACTACCGACTTGGGTGGAACAAGTACGTAAAAAGTAGGAAGGGGCTCTGAAGCTCACGAACTAGGCCGCGTCCACCCGCGCGACGGCGAGGAAAGCCAGAGGAGGGTTGGCAAAAAGGACAGAGGGGAAAGGGAGAAAAGGCAATTGGGAAAGAGAGAGAGAGTGCTGTGGGTGTGGTAAGAGCTGAGGCTTGAAAAGAAGACGGCAGGAGAGAGGGCGAGCAAAGACGCGGATCAAATTGTTGTCGCTCCCTCGATCAGAAGCCGTAATTATAGTCTGGGTAGTATAAGTATCACGGTGCTTAAGTCGAGACAACTAGTAAATCGGTACTTGCGAATGGGAAGATCAGAAGGGACTCGTGCCGGGGGAAGGGGGAGGTACACCGGCCAATGTCAAGTCAACGGTCCAAGTCAAGGGTTGAAGTCAATCCACGATCCATCAATCGATAAGTTCCTTAGGAAATGTGGGGAGCTCTGGGTAGCTGTTCCCGAGCCAATCACCAATCTCAAAGTGCCCACGTTCCCTCGGATTCCCGCCGCGGATGCAGTGTCCATGACCGTCCGATCATGGGTAATACTAAAGTGCAGTAAGCCCCTCCACAGTAGTAGGAAGTGCCGACCTCATTCTAAGTAATAACTACTATGATAGGTAAAAAGTCATTCGCCTGGTTGAGGTTGGCGGACTGTCCAGGCTCGGGCTGCTACGCTTGAATGACGGCGCTTGCGTGATGCGTGCACAAAATTGTTACTCGACCACTCAGGCTCCGACTATATCCTACCGAATATTTCACGGGTCCATCAACCGATCATAACCACCAGTGCACTCAAAATTGAATGGGTAATTAAGGCAATAAAAAGGAAGAAAGAAAAAGAAGAAAGAAAGAAAAGCGAAGCGGAGGGAGAAAAACTAGAAAAGAGGGATCATAGCGGAGGCTCCATGCGCTGCAGTTGGATGCTCTGGCCAGATCATCCCTGTTACCTAGTATATGAATAAGTAGAAAGGGATTGCATTTGGTGTCATATAGTACCAATGATGCGTTGATATATTTAGGTTAAGGCTATAAACCACACCGGAGGTATAGACACATCTTTCTACCGCATTCTAAGGCACGATTCGAGACGTAGGTTGACAGAAAAGAAAGGGGAAGAATGATCCGATGGCCGACCTTACTTTCTTCCACAAGACGAGATCCACAAGCTTATCGCATCTACTTTGAATGTACAATCGAGACGCATACATCGCAGCTTCAATTAGACCATAAAAAAATCCAGACCCCATTAAGCAAAATTGACCTGAACAGAACGAGAGGAAATACTGAGAAAGAGCAATATATGAAACACAGAAACACAGCGGCCCTTCTCAGACCAAATGCAGAAAGGGAAGAAGGATAACGAATAGTCATAAATATACAAATTGCAAGAGGCAACTGCGAAGTAATTTTCAGACATCACATCGACAAGGGGAATCAATTGAGCACCGCAAAGACAGCGAGAGTGGGCCAAAATGAGAATTTGAATAGGGTTAGAACAATAAACGAGTGTAAGAATAGGAATAAAAGAATGAAAGCCAGATTTCACCAACAAGAAACCTGTTCGAGGTCACAAAGAAATCCTAATCGCGGAACACGACGCAATCTCACGTCGTGGATGATAATGGCGTTTCGAAGTGGAAAGTGTTCAATCAAAAAGAAGTGAAGGCGATATATGCTTGACTCCTGAGTTCCGTACATTCTTGGCAAAGAGCTTGCCGCAGCTCGCTTGGCATGGTTGCATGCCATGAAAAATGAAAATTGAGATTTTAACTGCGTGCGCACTCGGATGGGGCGGACGAGCACCATACCTGGACCTAGAAGTTCTGGGCGATACCTGCATTTCCTTGCCTCGGAAACACGGCCGGATTCTCGATACGGGTGTTGCGCCGTGCCTGAACGTCCCGGATGACAGGGGGGGCACCGCCGTATGGACCATCACCGTAAGCCCCATACTGCGGCTGCATATCACTATAGTATGGGTTATCGTCGTAATAGGCGCCGGTCGGATGCGTAGCGGACATATGGCTTTCCTCCGAGGCCTCTGATCGGTTGGCTGCAGAATATGCAGATGAGGCATTTGAGGGACCACGATGAATATCGGCATTCCGATTGTTCGTTGCTGCCGCTGGAGCAGCACCAAGAACGCCGATTGGCTCAGTTTCCCCTAGGGTCCCTTGACCCTCGGAGTACTGGATAGTCCCGTCACTTGGCGTAGCGGTGTGGTGATATCCAGGCGCGCTCCCAGCCTCAGACATGGCTAGCCCCACCCCAGCACTGCTTGAAAGATTAGTGGACGCTTTACGGCCTGCCGATGTGGTACCCCATCCCCGATACCCGGAGGTATCATCTTTAGGCTCAAAGGCACTTCCGCCCATTATAGGCGGAAGAGATGGATCATTATTCGGGTTGAAACCATATTCCTCTACCTCTTTTCGTCGCTCCTCCTCTGCAGCCTTCTTTGCTTTCCATTTCCTCCAGAAATAGAGGGCTGCAAGTACAATCAAAGCCACAGAAGCGACCGGCACAACCACTGCAACTGCTATTGTACCGGCTGCTGAAAGTCCAGAAGAGCCATCCCCACCCGAACTCCCGGATGTTCCTGTAGCTGATGAATTATTTCCAGTGGCAGAAACGCCATCCGCCGCTGTTCCTACAGTGGCTGTCGGGATCGATGTATCCGTCGAAGTTATCGTGAGAGTTTCTACTCCCGTGGAACCATTGGTTGGTGTTTGTGTTATAATAGTTGTGACGACATCGACAGTACGGCTAGTTTCTGATGCGGAAGTGGTGGTTGGGACAGGATCTGTTGTTTTTGTGGTTGTTGATGATGACGATGTTGTTGTTGATCTCGTCGACGTCGTGCGCGACGTTGTGCTCGTCGTCGTGGGTTCTGCAGGTGGATCCGTGGAAGACGAAGAAGAAGAAGAAGAAGAAGAGGAAGAAGAAGAAGAAGATGTTGATGTGGAAGATGATGTTGAAGGTTCAGTAGTCGTTGGTACTTGGGTTACCGGTGGTTCCGATGTGGTTGACGTTGGGATCGAAGCTTGTGTCGGCGTTTCCGATTGTGTATCGGCCGATGTTGCGGCATCGGTAGTATTCACGAGTGTTGCAGCTGCAACCGCAGCGGCTATTACCGTACGTTTAGTGAACTTGTTCTAGTTCAAATGAAGGTAGAGATAACAGCGAACAGTGGTAAACAGTATTTGTCAAGGAATGCGATGGGTGATTTCATACCGGAGGACGACATGTTCCAGTCAGCTTCACTCGAATGTATCTCTAATGCGGAGAGAACGGGGAGGTATGCGAAGCAGAGAATTGGCCAAAATAAAAAACAACTTTTTTTTAGGCAAGAAAAAAAGGGAAGACGACCTCAGAAGCGTCGGTAAGCCAGGCGATGACGACAGAGCGGGCGCCTTCACCTGGAGCGAGGAGATGCGGTCGGAGAATTATCGAGGGTAGCCGTTCGAAACCGAATTGGAACGAAGCGGAACTCGCATGAAGGGTTGAATAGTGAAAGGAGGGATTTCGAGATAAATGGTAAAAGGGTGATGGGGAGCAACCGAGGGGAAAAGAATGGATAAGGCAAGTCGGTATTGCAAAGGACGTGCGCCCGATGAAGTTAAGAAAAATGGTCGGCTGATATGAGAAGATACCAGCGCGTGAGTTGAAGAAGTTGGCGAAAGACGACCTAGGTGATGGTCAGGGGAAGGAAGAGCCTGGGTCAAGTAGACTACGTAAGGTAGAAAGGCCCACCACGGTGCTAACCAAAGACGGCCGGGGGAAACGGGAGAGACAGGAACAGAGAGTGGGAGTGACTGGGGAGTGACTGGGAATGAAAAAAAGAGCGATAGCTAACATTCAACCAGGCGACGGATGAGGAAACTGAAATAGCCACCTCAATGGCAACTTACTGATATTAGACTGGGTGCCATGAGAAAGTTGAAAGAGGTCTCATCTTAGACCAGGGTTCATCGCCACCAACATAAGACAATTTGGAGGAGACAACCGACGACTAACGAGTGACGAGTGATGAGAGAAGAGATAGTGAGACGCGCAAAAGAGCGACGGAGAGTATGGGCGAGTGAGCGAGAGAGAGTGTGTGTGTGGAAGGAAGCGGGGAGTCTGGAGTCCTGCAACCGGCTTCATTGGCATTCAGGAGAGATCAGAACTCGGAAGATCACAGCACCATGGAAAGACCCAGTTACGGAGGAACCTCAGGGCAGGAACGGGTGAAGAGATCTGGATTCGGTACCAGAATAATAACCACAGAACTACTTTCAGTGAGGTACGATTAACACTATTTCGTCCGGTACTAGTTCCGTATTGTTTATTATTTCAGCCACATTCTTTGTTCTGTATTGTGGAGGAGACCATCAAGACCAACAAGATCATCAGCATCCCATGATTAACTGCTTTACTTGTTAAGAAAGAAGTACTTCCTCCTTGGCCAGTCATAATGACATATTTGATTTTTCTTGAACCATCACTACCGCGATATATCAAAAGATACGAAGATCAAAAGACCACGTGACGACGAGGCGATAATATTTTGGAGATTGACTCTTTTACTCATCAGGTATGTAAAAACACGTACAGAATACACACGGAATCTGTTTGACAGGGAAACCGATATATTTAGCAACGTTGATGTCAATTAATCCAAATTGATCCACCTCGCAATCAGACATGGTCTTTCGATCATGCATGCAGACAGCAGATTTTGATCGAAGTTGTTGCAGGATGATTTTGCGCATCGGCAATAACTTGACTGATTAGAGGAGAATGTTAATTGGCCCTTCGTTGAATGCCGAACGTCCGCCACCGTCCATCCCATGATCGCCCTCTACCACTCTCAATGTGACTGTACTCATGCCCTAAACATCTTCACGACATAATTCTGTACGGTGGTCGATACCTTCCCCCCACTGGGATCCATGAGTAGGAAAATATTGTAGAACTCCTTTATAGCGATCCTCGATTAGACGATTTTCCGGTTTATATGATATATTTCAATCAGGCTTGACACGCAGCCATACAAAAATCGTTAAATCTCGATATCACGATAATCGGTATTGAAATCACAGCTCCCAAACAAAAATAGTCAAAAGGGATGACATAATTACCAAACTAGGAAGTTATGGAGTTAGAGATTACCTGATCACTAAATATATATATATCCTGGCCGTTTTGGGCCAGAAAAGGCAAGGTCATGTGATATCACGTGGCCTGTTCCACCAAAATGGTACAGCAGTTATGCGTCATAAAGGTGTAAAGTGGTGTTACAGATCCCATCGTTATAAAGGGCTTTTACAGTATGTATGTACACACTCTTTTCAGTAGGCTTGTAACTAGGCTTCCTTGGCGGACGATGGCCAAAGTTGCATGAATGATTAGCCCTGTCCGGAGGTTAGTTATGCGCAGGAAGTTATGCCTGACATCTATGGCTGAAACCAAGTATGATCTGTGATCAATCTATATCAAGAGATGAGGGTAAGGCGCAATGTGGATGGGTACTTGGTTGAGATGCCTCCCCTGTCGATCCGTACTATGAATCATAATGGGAAACAAGTCGGCCGTACGTAGCGTATGTACTATTTAGTAAGGTACGTACGTATCACGGAGAAATTCTCCGCCAATCCTCTGTTCAGGGGGCGCCTTTCGAGATAGGTCGACATGGTCGGCAGACCTCTTGCTCGCAGATTCCAGGGTGACTACGATGCTTAGCGACTGGAATTGATCTTATCATTGAAGAAAAGAACCCGGCTACCCGTATATACGCCAATGTAGGTTTGCTCCTGAGCGTTCTGGCACGATTTCCATCCGACTGTCGTCTGCAACCACCATCTATGAAATAGCAACAGCCTTGAGGATGACGGAGTACATCAGGTATCCAGCACGGTGGGATGTTGTCAAATACAATCCGGTCAGAATAGTTATATTGGAGTGTATAGGTTGACTACCCGCAAGATACAGCATATGTGCAGTAGATGGCAAAACAACAGCCACTGGGACTAAACCTCTAAGGAGAAGCAAAGCTAGAATATATAAGGCACCTTTAAAATACTATTGACGCCACTGACATCAAAGGTTGCAAGTTGATCCGATACCTTCAAGAAAGTGATACCGTAAGAGAAAAGGAAGGAAACAAATCATGAGAAAGTAGGCAAATACCCAATTGAATGCAGAGGACTGGAAATCGTTACAGCGAAGGTAAGAAAGGTGATTTTATACAGGAGGGTTGACGTTCCAACTACTGCTGCATATCCCATTTAGGGCGGAGGTTTGATATCAAATCATCTTTGGTGCCCACGGCCCCTGGTGGAAGGCGGCTGACGCGATATGCGCCATTGCGTATGTTGTGAAGATGAGTTGAGGAGATTCCTGTATGATTGCTGCGGATGCTGCCGGCATCGCTTCCGGCATCAGTATTCTTGAACCGCGGCGGAGGTGCAAAGTCTAAGGTGTCGTAAGCGCCAGACTTTCGTAGAGCATGCCTGATCCAATATTAGTATCAAAGGGCCCAGCGCATAGAGGCAGAAACGAAAGCAAGGTCAGAACTTACGCGCTAGGTAGGGGCGATAGATCATCGAAGGCTGAGACGAGGGGAGAACGAGCCGGAGTCAACGGGCTGAAGGGCTGGAGGCCACCTAGAGGCGTGTCTGGCCGGCCTTCCCTCAGATCCTTGTAGTTCTTACTGGGGGCATAATCGATCGCCGTCATTATAGATTCATCTTTCAGCATATGGGGCGTGGGGAGAATCTGGAGTGGCGATGGTGGCGGTGCCGGCTTCCGCAGCTTGGGGGGACCCGGTAAGCGACCAGAAGCGGACGAAAATGCACGGGGACCTGGAGAGTTGAGTCTATCACTAAACCCACCATCCGAGCCGGTAGCCATATGGCGAGCGGCGCCCTGGAAACGAGGAGGTGCACGGGGAGGTGGCGTCATTGCGCGGCGAGTGACTGGCTCGGCGAATGGTGCAGGGACCGAGGCAAAATGCTCTCCTGAGGAAGGATCATAAACATAGCCGCCTTCGACAAAAGCTTCAGGACCAGATCTTCCATAATAAGTTTCGCGTCCAGTACGACTCTCATCAAAGTATTCTTTATAGAATGACCGGATACGATTGGCACGCTGCTCAGGATTGTCGGAAGGATCCTCTGGCGGCAGAGGTCGAAGACCGAAAGTCAACCGACGCGTGTCACGGCGTGGATCAAGGCTAGCGTTTTGAGCTCGAGTCGGCTCATCAACTCCCTCAGGAGGAAGAGATGTACCCTCAAGGCTGCTAAGATTACCATGGCCTACCACGCCATGCACATTGACGATTGGGATTGCAGCGCTAGGTTCTATGTCTCCATAGTCACTGTCTCCATCGCTTACTGGAAGTGATACCCTAGGAGTTGAAACTGGTGCATTCTGAGCGGCATGAAATATCGGTTCCATCGAAATGGGATCATGCTGAGTCGGGGGATGCGGGACCGCTGTCGATCCTTTTTCCCCTGCCATGCTGCTATTGGGAAGGAACAATTCCGGATGCTTTGGCTGCTCAGAAGGCGCCGAGGAAGGATCATCCGATGCACTAGGCTTGACATGACCTTTATTGGGGACTGGTTCATCGATGACGACCCCTGGCACACGAGCAGGGCTTGGACTCCTCGGAAGGTCTACTCGGAATTCGGCCTGTGGTATTTGACTTGGGCGAGGTGGGGTTTGGGCGTTTCGGTCGCTTTCAGGATGATCGTAGAGCGGCGGGGATGAGCGGGACATGCGTTGAGCATTGCGAAGGAGTCCTTGGTTCATGTCATCGCCCAGGGGTCCCCGTCGTGTCGAGCCCGCAAAACTAGATGCATCATCCTGGGGACCTCTGGAATGAGATCGCAGGGATGCATTGTCCCCTAGAAATGTGGTTGCGTGTCGATACTTGTCGTCGTCTCCAATCATAGACCTCGATAACGAGTGCAAAGACTCTCTCGAGTTGTGCAGACCAGGTGGGAGGAGATATGGACTTGGCCCAATGTCTAGGGATACTCCCTTGGCGTGGGCCCCGTTACGATCAGTCTTTTCGGCTTGCTGCATGGATTTACCACCAGTGGGCGTCAGGTCTAATCCGAAGTCGAGAGATTTATGCTTGTCGTTTGCATCCTCATTCCGGAGCTTTTTCACGTTCTTGCGATGGAAATAAAGCAAGACAGCAATGGCACACACAACAGGGATCCTGAACGATCATTAGCCACGGATTTACGAAGCGTACGGCACATCGAAATCATCTTATCATCTTAATACCGTCGCAATGGGTGAGGAAAGACAATCCAGACAAAACATACACTACACCAAGGACCACCGGTAAGGTTGTGGTCATCATTGTGCTCGTGGCTTTCTCGCAATTATTCCCAGCGCAAGTTGATGTTGCGGTAGAAGTGGCGGCAGACGGTGCAGGGTCTCTTTTCACCAAGGTTGAAGTGGAAGACACAGCAAGGAAAGGAAGACGATCGCGAGGTACGATGCCCGGCCGTCGTGACGAAGCATCCCTCCCAAGATGTGTGGCCCGAAAGGCCCTGTGTTGGTGACTATGGTGATACATGGCCACCTCGGTTCTTGCAAGCAGCGCTCCTGGGAAGCGATCCCTCAAGGGCCGGGAATTGTTGTCTTATATGCGCCGGATATGATGCTGCCGTGAAATGGTATCGAGAGATTTACCGGGCTAATGAGCCTGATAGTTCATAGGTTCCAGGCAAGATAGGACCGCTGGTCGCGTAGTGCCAGACTGAAATGAGGTGAAGATTGTTGGGATTGACTGTCTCGGAAGCAAAGCCAGGCGTTTCAAGCTGACGGTTGACAGGGACAATCAATTAAGACGGAGCTTCGAGCAAAGAATGGACAGGAATCAAAACAAATTCCCAATAACGAACGGCGGCCAAGTGCCCAAGCACCAGCAGAAGAACGACTGTACAGTCCCCGGGACGGTACTTGAGGAGAGGGGAAAGGGAAAGGGAAGGGGAGGGAGACAGGGGAGGAGGAGGGAACTAGACGGAGAAAAAGAATGACGTGAAGCACAAAGCCAAAAGAAGGAATGCAATTGAAATGTAAAAGAGTAAGAAAAGGGAGAGTTGAAGAAGCCGAGATCTGACAACAGCAGGGAGGAAGAAAAGGAAAAGAGGGAAGCCCGAGAGCCCAAGTGGAAAAAGACCGATTGTCCGTACGGAGACATCCTAATACTTAGTAGTAGGCTAAGGACTCTAGCGGTCTAGATAACCCGTTTCAATTTCCAGTCATTTTGTCAGGTACTAACCAATTGTGGGGAGGGTGTGGGGAGATCACCACATGTATCGTACCATGCTGAGTTATTGCACGGTAAGAATCGTAGAATGTAGACATTTGCGATCAAACGCATGTCTATCGCTACTTTAATTGTACAATCATGCATATTTTGCATGTGGATGATATACTGTTAGGTGTGCTTCAATGGCTTGAAGGACTTCTTGAAGTGCGGTGCAAGTTGTGCCGGGTCTGTGGGAAAATTGCCCTCCCCTAAATTCAAGGCAGCTTTGCCCGGTACCACTTAGGTCGGTTTAGCGCCGAAAGGTGTGTTGCCTTGGTAGATAGAACTTGGGGCTAGAACTTTGAACGCTTGGAGGTATCGCTCACGACCATGGCATGGGGGGGAATTCCTTCGTCTTAGCCCCTAGTCTATTAGTAGGCCGGCCTATCCATCAAGATAAGAAGTTATTTTCTCTCTCAGAATGAGGGCCCTACCGTAGGTACGAGAAGTATCGTTAGTATTATGGAATGCACAAAATCATTTCCCCCGCCGGCCCTCTCATTTCCCCTTCCAAGGCTGTTTTATTTTAATTGTATACTTAAGGATGGTTTCAGGTCAACACTCCTCGCATTTATTCCGTGGTAAAGTCAAGAGCAAGTAACGATAGGTATATTAACTAGGTACCTATAAGTAGCTACTAGGTAGGGGCACTGTACCTGTTCTCATCTGAGTAGACATTCAGCCACTGAGCTAGGGTTGCTGTTTAGGTTATGCAAGATATGTGTAGTTTGATGCACAGGAAATATTATAGATATATAAAAAATAATTTATATAATTTTTTTATATTAACTTTCTTAGGAAATAGCCCAGTCAGTTATCAAGACTAATTAAAATCAGAGTAGAGTGGCTAACAGCCAGGTCAGGTCAGGTTAATAGAAACTTTTATATCTGACTATATATTAATAGTCAGATTATAGAAATTTTTATATTTAATTATAGTATAATTAAAAATAGAATAATTAATTATTTTAATTATTCTTAATATTAAGACTTATTTATTATATTTTTTTTAATTTTAATATAATTAAGATATATCTAAATTAAATAAGAATTAATTTAATTATTTTAATTATTATCTAAGAATATATAAAGATAAGTTTTTTTAAAATAAAAAAATAATAAAGAAATCCTAATAATATTAATATAATTTAATTTTTTATAATATTATTATTTTTATAATAAAAAATATAAAAAGAATATATAATTATAACTTAATTTAAATTATATATTAAAAAACTAATGAATTATATAAAAAATATTATATTTTTATTATTAAAATAATAATTAAAAACTAGTGAAATATCTCTAAACTATTATTATATTTTTTATTTAAAAAGATCTTAATTATTTATATATTAAATTAAAGATTATTTATATTATATTATATAATTAATTTATTTTAATAATTATATTATTTATAATTATTTAATTTAAATATTAAATATTATATTATATCTTTAATAATAGATTTTATAAAAATCTTTTTTAAAAATTTTTTATATAAATATTCTTTTTATTTAAATTTATTATTTTTATTAAATATTTATATTTTAATCTCTAGAAAAAGCTAGATATATTAAAATTATAAAATTGCTAGAAATTAAGATATAGATAATAAAATAATATATTTAGATTTTAAACTTATAATAAAAAAAGAGATTATTTAAATTTTAATTTTAAATATAACTCTAAATAATTAAGTATTTAAATTATTTAAAAAGATATTTAATAATTCTAAACTCTAAATATACTTTTCTATTTATTATATTTATTAATAATAATAAATATAATAAGTAGATTAAACTAAAAGAAGAAATATAATAAAT